GGGCCAATTAGGTAACATTTGCTCTTTTCGCCTGCTGTATTCACTTTGAGTGTTGCTATTAGTACCTCACTTATTATTTTGGACTCCTCATTTTTTATTTTTGTTATTATAATAATAACCTCAAATGAAATTACTAAAGAGGACACCAATTATTTTAGGATACCCTATCTCACAATTAAGCTCACACACTCACTTAATCATGAGATAGGATTTATGAGAACACTCACCTCCATCACCACCCATACACTTCAAAACCTTCAGAACTTATCCACTCTAAAAAACTTAAGAACCCTCTAACGGCAATATTCTGACGGCAACGGTGGCAACCATTCAACTATACATACTTCTCCGACAATAGTAATAAGTGAAAGTTTTTCTAGCAACCGCAATTCCATGAGACGAATGGAGTACAACAATGTAAGTTAGAGGAGGTTCATAGCTTGGATAGTGTTTGCAACTCAGAGAAGGTTGGCCTTGTAATGGTAAATTTTTTCAAAAATATGGACAAAGATGGTGAAAACGGTTCGACTTCAAAAACACGCAGGAGTTTATGTTTCCTAAGGTTCAGCAACGCAAGGCTGAACATCAATCATTTGTTTGGTAACACAAGCCTAAACATAAGTTATTTGTTCGAGAACACAGGTCCAAACAAGGGAATTTCTTAAATTTTGAAGGGGCAAACTTGCGCACATACGCAAAAGTTCACGTTTTCTAAGATTCGGGAACATAGGGCCGAACATCAGTCATATGTTCGGCAACACAAGTCCGGACATAGGTTATTTGTTCTGAAACACAGGTATGAACAAGTGAATTTCTTAAAGTTTGATGAATCGAGAGAGAGAGGTTTCAAATCAACAGAACAACTTCTCTTCACTTGTGAAACTTGTCTTTCTTTCTATGAGATTCATCGTGAGAGAGAGAGAGAGCAACAAAGATACTACCATAAGAGTGAGAAGAGATCTCTACGGTGAAGTTCAAATTTGAACTTTTTAGGTTTTGGAAGATCAATGATTTTTAAGGGTGTGCTGAGGGGTGCGCATTTTAGTAGGTGTGAAATTTTTAAAAAGATAATTTTGGCATTATTGGGAGGTGAGAGAAATTTTAAGAATTTTGAAATTTATAAAGGAGGCCTATAAAAATGAAGAATTCAAAACAATAAATGAAATGCTAATAGCAACATTCATTCACGTTTTCCTTCGCTTCCCAACATGCAATTACGTTTCAATATTAATGCCTTCTCATACCCAAACTTCACTATAAAGACACCATCCTTGGTATAATGTCAAATAAGCTTATCCTTCACTATGCCTATAGAGGGTTGGCAAGGCAATTTATTAAACTTGGAATTCAAATAAATAATTAAGAATATAAGGTTAATTTGGTATTTAATTGAATTTATTTATTCATCTCGTGGGAAATTAATGTTGTTTTAATTAGAAATTATGTGTATAATATATAATTTTTTTTTTGATAAATAAAAAGAAAAAAATTAACAGAAGCAAAAAAGAAAAAAAGGCAAAGGGCCAAAAGGGTATTAAAGACATTTTACTTGGAATTTGGAGAGAGCTTCCATTTGCATGCCAAAAAATTTTCAATTCACATCATTTTGCATTCATATATTAACTATGTATTAAGGTCATTTTTAATTCCTGTGTTGGGTTAGTTTATACAGAACTCTGCTCTAACTTTAGTTGGGCCCCCGTTGGTGGACAGTGGGATTGGTCTCCCAAGAATTACTCGAGGTGCACACAAACTGGCTTAGACACCCTGAGGTGTGGTTTGGGAAGTGGGTTGGCTTTTTGGCTTTTTTGGCTATAGCGACCCCGGTCTTTTCCCATTTGATTATTGTATCCGGACTTAGGTTCCGTAGACTCCGTCATTGTATAATTGTTGTTGTCGTCCTTTATTTTCTCATTTGGAGTTATAGGATGTGTTGGGCAGGTTTGTTTCAGGTTGGTTGGGTTTAGAAATCCAGTGTTGCTGCCCAGAATTTTGACTCTTCGCTCGAGCGAGAAGTTCTTCGCTCGAGCGATCTCTTTGTTTTGGTCCTTCGCTCGAGCCAGGACAGCTTCGATCGAGCGAGGGTTGCGTTTTGAGTTAGACCTGAGAGCTGAGGTTTTTGGCTCGAGCGAGCTTTTCTTCGCTCGAGCGAGTTAGTTCGTTCTTCGCTCGAGCGATAGTTCCTTAGCTCGAGCGTGTGCCTGATTGCAGACCTGTGGGTTTGAGTTCTTCGCTCGATCGAGTTTTCTTTCGCTCGAGCGAGCTTTTGTGTTGTTGGCTCGAGCAAGGCTCCCTTGGCTCGAGCGTAGATTTCTGTGTCTGGTCGCTCGAGCGACCAAGTATTCGCTCGAGCGAGCCTGTCAGGTTTAAATAGGCAGCAGCGTGTTTCAGATCTGTTTTTCTTTCATCTTCTTTTTGATTCCAAACCCTAGATCCGACATCTCTCTCTCTCTACTCACCTTCTCTCTTAGATTTGATCCACTTAGGGTGTGTTTCTACCCTAGATCCTTCATTAAAAAGGTAGAGTGAGTCGAGGGCTTCCATTTAATCTGAACATTTGGCAATTTGGAGCACTTTGGTATTTGGGTATTCATCTCTGTCTTCTCCATTTGGGTTGTTTTTCTTCGAGGTAGGGATTTCCTACTCCATTTTATAGGTTTTGTTCTAAGTTTTGGTATATTGATATGTTGGGGTTACTTTGATAATTTTGGGAAAAACCCTAGTTGAATTAATAAATTAATTTGTATATTTAATTCATGGAAATGGGGAATTCATTGATTAAATGGCGTAGTTGGATAATTTGAATTATTTGTCTATTGAATTGTTGACATAGTTATTTTCAGTTTAGAAGTAACTGTTTTGGGCTATCGGTGGAGGATAGTCGTGATTGTTGTAGACATTGCATGTGGATTAGGAATAACTGAAACTAATCACATTGGTTAAGTCATTGATTTAGACTGTTGAATTAATACAGAAAATACATGTATTGATTGTGTGTTGTATATGACGAGTGTTTAATACATTGTATATGCATTTTTGTTTGGGAGGAGATAGGGGATGGACTCCATTAGCATCACTTTTATGTGTGCTTATTTCTATAGAAGTGTTTTATTGATACAACACTAAAATGTGTATCAAACTGGAAGTATGAAGTGTTTTGATTTGAGCTTGAGTCTCATTTGTTTGTTGACATTGGAAGAATGTGAATTTGATATATATATGGTTCACTGTTGTAAGTTTGGCCAGGTTCTGAGCCATATGGTTAATGTTGAAAAGTTAAGGGTATCTTAGACATTAATATCATGAAACTGTATAGAGATATAACTGATTATCTTGGTAAACCAATTATTGAATGCTATTGCTTTATTCAATGCTTATATTTGGTTTAGTATATTTCTGCTGGGCTGTGGCTCACCCTTTATGGGAACATCATTTTCAGGTTCAGGTGATAAGCCACCTCCAAGGACTTAGCTTGGGAGGGTTTGGCTTCTGGATTTTTGAAGAAGACTATCTTTAGTTAATTGTCTTTATTTATTAGTACATGTAAACATTCAAGCCTAGGGCTTTTCTTGTATTGAGTTAGAACTCATAATTTTGTATCCAAGTGTTGGCTTGGAAAGATGTAAGCCTGTAGGGCATTTAATTCAATGTTACATGTAATGCTTTTATTTAGTAATACTCTGATGAATAAATGAATAAAATGTTTTCATTAAATTATAACATGTCAATGATATATAATGGGTTTATTTTGAGGGCGTTACATTGGCTGTTTTAGCTTGGGGCTAAAAAGCCTGATTTAGGAAGGACTTTTGGCTTTTTTGATTTTTTTGATTTTTTTGTGAGAGAAAAATATAATAATTATGGGTTGAATGTGATGTTTTATCTTATTGGGGCTAAAAAGCTTATTTTGTTTTTTGTGACTATTTTAGCCCCAAATCCACCCAAACCCACTTCCCAAACAATGGTTGAATTATCAAAACAAGAAAGGTCATTTTCAATTCATATTTTTTGGATAAGTTACACTCCCTCAACAATTGTTCTATATCATTTTACCCACGTAACTAAAATTTGTAGCACCTAACTCCCCTCATCTATTTATTTATTTATTTTTTCTTTTCAATTTAGACCTTCATAATGAAAATACCCTTTCATAGGATAAATTACACTTTAGCCCATTGAACTATTATCCAATATCACTTTACACCTTCAACTGAAAAATGATACATTGCCATTTTGAATTATAAGTTTACGTCAATGTAAATATTTTGTTAAGAATATGTTATTTAAATATATAAAAAATTGACATTTGACTTACACATAACATCTCGGATTAAATGCCTAAAATGACAATATCAATATGTTTGGTTTTGTTTTTAGAAACTATTTAAGTGTTTTTTTTTTTGTATTTAATAAACCTCTTCAAATTTTTGAAAAATTTACCCATAAATCCTATATGAGGCAAAGTTAAACCATTTAGTCCTGATAGTTTTCTCATGGACCAATTAGTCCTCTTTTTTTGATAAGATTTATTTAATTGATATTGGTTCCATTTGAATTTACATGTATACCCTTTGTGTATTTTTTTTTTCCTAAATGGATTAAGAGACACACGACACTCGACAAACATGTCAAACGGAGCATGAACAAAATAGGGAGAAACACTATACATAACGTTATGACACTAACAATTAGTTACTAGCTTCCATTCCACCACACTATGTGATACCTAAAAAAAAAAAAAAATTAGAGTGATCATGATCAAAATGTGTGGGGGCAATGGAATATTTTCTTTAGAGAGAAAAGAGGGGGACAAAATTTGGTGGAAATAAAATATACAATATATCTCTGTATCTGAGTGTTCAATTTGGTGGAAGGGCCCATGTTTGTGGGTGGAGAATTATTATGTTACAGAGAGAGAAGTCCATACCCAGTGTGACTTAGAGAGAGAAAAGCTTGGTGAGTTATCTGGGTAGATGAGTTCGGACTATGAGCTGGCACCGATGGGGATCATCCCAGAAGCAGCTTTCGAAGTTATGATCAATGTTTTGTGCAAAGCTGGCCATATTGAGCAGGCTTGCAAGTTGGCCGATGGGTTCTCTGCCACCTCAAGTAAGCATGAGCTGATTTGGGTTGTTGGAGAACCAGTCTACGTGTTTGTGGAGTTGGCAAATCCTTGTGGATCTATTAGAAAACAAACACACAAACACCCGAGCTCCGTGAAAACAAACACTTGACGAGTCCCGGATTTCTGTGAGTGAGAAAAATCTGGAGAGCTCGTAAACCCAACGAACGAATGATGTTCTTTGCTGGAGCTCCGAAAGCTGTGTATTGCACTGCTGCGCCAGAGGTTGGTCGCCAATTTGTGTCTTTGCTGGTCCGGCATGAGCTGAGGATGAAGCTTGTGACATGTCTCATGGTACTGGAGGAAGTATGCTGCTCATAAGGCATACTTATGCACAGTTGACAAGGTTGGTGAAATCTTTGAACGAGCTGTGCAATCTGCAACATACTGTGTCGCCATCAAGGTTCTGAAAAGCGGTTGCGGTTGCGGGGTGTAAAGACCGTACTGTAACGGTTGTGGTAACCGGAACCGTGAATTTTTTTATTTTTCGCACAATTTGAAAAAAACTTACCGATACGTATATTTTTTTTCCATGATCATATTTATTGGGTTAAAAATAAATATTGATCAATTTTTGCAAATTTTTAAGTATGATCCAATATATTTCATATTTTTAAATCATTATAAACTGAGTTTTTTACATTTTATTTTAATAATTAATGACTTCATATTTTACAAAAAATCAATCACTAGCTATTATATATAAGATAAATAATGACAAAAGTAAGAGAATAAATAAGAGCCTAAATATATATATATACATATTTTAACCAAGCCAAATAGATAATGACCACTTATTATTATTATTATTTTCAAACAATATATAGATAGACACACACAAACAAAATGGTTTAGTGATAGCAGCTGAATAGAATAGCATAAGTCTTATAGTTGCAACAAATCAATAACATGTTCTTCATCTTCCCTCTTCTCTCTCTCTCTCTCTCTCTCTCTCTCTTACTCCGCCAGATTCTTCGGCATGAGAGGCCGCCTATGGACCCTCTGGCTCCTCCAAACACTCGGCGGACTCTTCTTCTTCCCTGTTTCCAATCTGTGTCTTTGCTGGTCTGGCATGAGCTGAGGATGAAGCTTGTGACATGTCTCATGGTACTGGAGGAAGTATGCTGCTCATAAGGCACACTTATGCACGGTTGACAAGGTTGGTGAAATCTTTGAACGAGCTGTGCAATCTGCAACATACTGTTTCGCTATTATGATAATTTTAAGAAGTTTGTGGCCATTCTGGAAGAAGAGATGAAACAACATAACAACTACATTGATATGGAACCAGAAGCTGTTCCTGATGATGCAGTCTCGATGCTTGAAGATGAAGTCTCTTGTGTCATTAACAACCTGCTAGATCCTTCCACTGGCTTCTTTAGAAATAAAGCTCTGCAGAAATATATATCTATTGGGGAACAATTCTACCAGGAAGCTTGTGAGGTGGAAAAGAAAATTCATTGTTTCGAAACTAATATCCAGAGGCCTTATTTTCATGTAATGGCACTTGATGAAAATCAACTAGAAAATTGGCATTTCCACCTGGACTTTGTTGAGATGCAAGAAGATTTTGATTGGGTTGCGAACCTTTATGAGAGATGCTTAATTCCTTGTGTTGTTTACCCTGAATTCTGGATGAGTTATGTTGAATTCATGGAAACCATGGGAGGGCGAGAGTTAGCAAATTTTGCACTAGGCCGAACAACAAAAATATTTCTGAAGTTCTTAAGGTTAAATTGATGAGCATCTCAAGAGGAGCATTTTAACCGGTGGAGATCAAAATCCAACAAAGTCGAAAATTGGAGTTTTGCCTGCTTCCTCTGCTTGGCTTGAGGTAGGGATTTTCTATACTCTAATATGGCTTTTAGCTTAGTTATTTGCTATTGTGTATAGATGATGAGATTTGGTTGTGGTATGGACAAACCTAAGATTTGGATTTGAAATTATAAAAGAGGGGTTTCTCGGTTTTGGACTCTATTGTGCATATGGGGTTTTGAAATGGGATTATTTATGTATAATTGATGAAATTGAGTTTTGGGGTTGTTATTTGAGAAAGGGGGAAAAATGTCCTAATTGGGATTAAATGAATTGTTTGTCAAAATAATGAAATTAATTATGGGAATATATAATTGGATTGGAAATGATGGAATTGGGTAGAAATGTAATTGAATGGTGTAGTTGGATTGATAAATCACTCGCCTATGGAAGATGTAATAATTTATCTGTTGATAGATTTATTTACCTGTTTAGTGATAATTGTTTTGGACTATCAGTGGAGGATAGCCATGATTATTGTAGAACTGCATGATGATTAGGTAAATTGAAACTAATCAACTGAATTATGTCATTGAATATGACGGTCGGATTAACACATTGAATATGTGCTATAATTGATCATTGTATATGATAATGTGTTTAAATACATTGTATATGTATGTTTATTGGGAAGAGATAGGGGATGCACTCCACATATGATTTTGTTTATAAATACATTGCGTATGTATATTTGTTAGGGAGGAGAAAGGGGATGGACTCCATTTAAAGCAAGTTGGCCGGAGTGTCTTGGGTGAAAGACCCGAAAATTATATATATATACATGGGTGCCGATTCCCGCGGACAAAATATCTGTAAAATGGCATATTTGAGAAAACATACATGGGTGCCGATTTCCGCGGACGAAATATCCGTAAAATGACATATTTGAGAAAATCATGTATATACATGGGTGCCGATTCCTACGGACGAAATATCCGTAAAATGGCATATTTGAGAAAACATACATGGGTGCCGATTCCCGCAGATGAAATATCTGTAAAATGGCATATTTGAGAAAACATACATGGGTGCCGATTCCCGCGGACGAAATTTCCGTAAAATGGCAGATTTGAAGTGTTTATGTGTGTTTTATATAATTGGAAAACCATTAAGTTGTAGTCTCATTTGGTTGTTAAAAGATAATGAATTTAACTCATGAATTAAGTAGTGTATATGAACTGCAAATGAATAGATGGAACATGGGATAAGATTGGCCTCAGTGACATATGGATATGTAGGCCTTTTGGATGCTTCCATATCGGTATTGTTTATATACGTGGTATTTATACCTTTGCTAAACTTTATAAATTGTGTTAGATTATTTCTACTGGGCTGTTAGCTCACCCTATACAGGAATATCATTTTTCAGGTGCAGGTGAGGTGTTACCTCCAAGGCAATAGCATAGATGGACTCTTGGGAAGCAAGAGTTTCCTATTTATGCTTTATGTGTGCATGTTTGTTATTTGTAAAGCCAAGGGCTTAAGATGTTATGAGTGAGACTCAATTTGTGTAACCAAGCAATGTCTTGGAAAGATGAAAGCCAACAAGGCATTTAATTGTTTGTTAAACAGTGAACTCTGATACATGAAAGTATGTTGTTTTTCATATTTATTCCGCATATGAGTTATCTTTATTGTAATATTTTGGGGGTGTTACACACAATGTATCATTAAGAGACATACAAACCACAAGGGACGTCAACAACATCACACAACTAGTTAAGACCACAACAACCCTTCAGATTCAACATATCACACTGTTGCTGCATTTCATTAGGATGAATGTCATTCATATCACATATTACACAGCACATTGATTATTAATATTCCACATCGACATTACCATAACCACACCCAGTACCAAAGGGACTACCATTGCCACATAACAACACACCCAAAGGAACTACCATTGCATCTACTAACATTCATAGCAAGTTATTTCGAAAGAATAGAATAAGCACTTCAGGTATTTCGACCACTTAGGTCTGACTTCCGTTTGTTCATCTCATAATTCCCGTTTCAATGTTAATTGCTTACTTGTACATGAGTTTCAAGGCATATCTACAACGAGCATATATACATATTAGAGTGTGATTTTTTCCATTTTAGTTGTTAGCGTACAATTAATCGAATGACATTCCTATAACATCAACCACAAAATTGTTAACTCATTCAAACGTACGTATTTTGAAATAAGAGATTCATGTCAATCGTTTAACATTGAAATGAGGATCCTCAGTTTGGAAAATGTGCATGTGTTTCACCAATTACCTACATTGCATACAAATATACGTATGTCAATTACTTTCCCAACGTCAAGCCAACAAACTTATCCTAAAATTTTCAAACTTCAGAGCCTCATTTCAATGATAAGGGCTTCCTTCAAATGGCTTATTCCAAATGGCATTTGTTTCAGCAGGTACAATTCTTCTGGTTGATGTTGCACTTATGTCGTTCAATTAATCACACACGAACATATAAACTTACAAAATCACGCATCGAGATGACTACATATGAACACCAACCTCAACAACACCACCACATATTTGCCCCAACCATATTACAACACAACACGACAGACAGATCCCAACGTATAAAATATAACCATAGCAGTTGAATTTGTTAACATGTATGTTACTAGCATCACAGCCCAACTATCGAATAACCCATTCACAATCCACATCACCACTAACTACCATACAACTAGAAAAACAGGGGAAATGACACCCTGCTATGACACAATACCAGAATCAACACCACAACTACCCCTAACATTACAGTTATACCAAACACACCATAACAACTTCATATGGCCCAAAACCGCAAACGTATTCCAACCCACCAATTGCCAACAACAAGAATCACAAAGGAAATAGGCATTACACAACCATAACCTTTAGGGAAATCACAGCACCCCACCCCTACTATTAACATCCGACAACATTACGCTAGAATTTCTAACATTACGAAACTGTAATCAAATAGAAACATACCATATTAGGTTCACAAATCAAGCGTTACACAACATAGAAAACTAGAGATACAGAATCAAGCGTCAACATATCATCTTCCCACTGACATTGGAAACTCAGAAATTTCCATATCTGTCTCTTCCGTTCCGATCAGTTAGGAAGGAAACCAAAAATCTCTACAGTAAGCTTTTGGGCAGAGACGTAAATTACACATCACCAAAACCCACATTTACCCCTATTAGCTAGTGCAACATGCTCTAAAAAATGGATCAATCTATTATTAGCACTAGAATAGGACTTATTGGCTCATAAGATAAAAGTTAGGACTGAATGGATCAAAAGTTAGAGATTTGGGATTTAATGGTGCATCACCCTAAATTTTTTTACTTTGTAAGTATATCTAATTTAGATGTATCTGAAAATTAAATATTTATGAAAAATAAAATAAAAGAATTCCTAAAGACAAAAAATATGAAAATATACCAAATTTTTTTTTTTCACCTCTAATGTTTTTTTAAAAAAATTTCTTCACAAAAATTTACTTGTTAGGTGCATCTAAATTTTTTTTTAAAAAACTACTAAATTATGAAAAAAAAATTAAAACTTTTATTTTTTTAATTAATTATATTAAAAAAAAGAAGGGGAAATTTATTTAGAAGTGTCATCCCACAAAGTATGTACCAAATTTTCTTGTAAACTATTAAGTCCCATTGAATTTGAAAAGGTACACCATGAGATCTTTTCACTATATTTTTTGAATATTCCAAATGTGAATAGGCTTTATTTATGTATTATTGTCTTATTAAATTTTTTCTCAAATGTGTCATTTTTAAAATGTGACAATGTGACATCATTCTAATGTATACATTATTTGTCTTATTAAACTTTTGTTAAATATGTCATTCTTCTTAAAATGTAATAATAGAACATTTGTGCATTATTGGCTTATTAAACTTTTGTCAAATATACTATTCTTAAAATGTGACAATGGAACATCATTCTAATGTGTCTACTATTGTCTTATTAAACTTTTTCCACATATGTCATTCTTTTCAAAATGTGACAATGAGATATTTATGCATTATTATTTTATTAAACTTTTCGACAAAATGTGTCATTTTTAAAATGTAACAATGAGACTTATTTTAATATGTGTATTATTATCTTATTACGTTTTCAAATATGAGTATATATTATTTGAGAGATTTTAATGTAAAATAAGACATAAATTATAAAGATATTTACAAAACTAAATGGCCGATAGGTCATGAAAATAGGATTTATTAATAAATTTTCTAATAAAAAATTCTCATAAGGGTATTAATTAAAAAAAAAAAAAAAACTATGCGTGCACAACCTATCCCTAACGTTATCATCTTTTAGACAGAGACGGAGAGAAAGCAGTTGGACTAACAAAAATGGCCTCCTCTGCAACTCCCTCCACTCTCATGTTATCCCACGGCGCTTCATCTCTTCTCCCCCAGCACCTCACCACTCTCTCTCCTTCAAACTCAAACCATGCTTCTTCAACTTCTCCAACATTTTCTCTCTCTACTCACTTGTCTTACATTTCACACACATAAAATCCAACAATTGGATTGATGTTTCTTCACCCAATTCCCCAGTTGTTGTGGCCACTTTGTCTACTGAAGCAGAGCTAGCAGAAGAAACTGAACAACTCTAAGAGGGTGTTGAGGGTGTTGTGGAAAGTGGTGTTGTTGTTACCCTAACTAAGCCCAAGAAAGGCAAAGCTGCATTGCCTCTCAAGAGTGACAGAGTATGTGTAATCTCATTCCTTATTTCCCCTTCTCTTCAATTGTGGACACATTAGTGATTTAATTTGTTGGGTTTCTTTGATTTTCACATTTATTTTAACTATGATTGTAAAAATTTTAGTTTCAAGAATCTTTTAATTGAGTTGGGGATAGATTGTGCTAATTAAGATCTACTTTA